GTGTGTCCACTGCTCCTTGCACTGCAAACTGGAGTGTGCGGGCTCTACGTGATTCCGGCCATTCCATCATTGAGCGGCATTCACGCCTCTGTAAACTCTTCCCCGAGTAAATCGACTGGGTAGCCGCTATTTCTGCAGATTCAAGCACGGAATCGTATAGATCCGTAAAGCCTAGTTCTCTGGAGGCGCACATTACCGCTGTCGCCCTCTTAAACCATTCCTACTGCACAGTAAACGGAAGCCGCTTGACAACAGCAGAAATCGTCACTGTGACGTTCACATCCGCTTTATAGTTGAGCTGTCTAAAAGTATTTTCGCATGCCTTCATCTGACCAGCTAACTTGTTAAGGGTATCCACACCATTACATTTTATAACCTGTCCTTCTAACAGTCAGTTGATATGATCACGAGCAATAAGGTGTGGGTGATCAAATCGAGTCTTAAGCGTATCCAGAGTATGCCTGAAACCCTCCTGTGGTTCCAATATGGAACAGCTCTTCTCTGGCATTCCCTTTACATTAGTACATCAAATACGATAATAACGCTGCAGGTACATCGGTTAAGCTCATCACGTTAGATTAGAAACTACGTATGAAAGGCCAGTACTTTAGCGGGCCACCAACAAATCGGATAATCTCCAAAGGCCACTAGTGCATCCAGTCACCTGACTTGTGTCGCCGAAGAGAACTGATAATTCGTGTGCAAAGACACCGCACCGGATGGTAGAACTTGTGCATGGACAGAAGTATGGACGCGGAATCTATGACGCCAAGCTGAATCATCATGTGGGTATGCGGTTAGCTCAGTCTTGATAGGTGAAGCCACAATGTTATTATCGCCTGCGGGCCAACAGTCGACAAAGGTCAACTGCGCCTGTTCGTCCAACTTAAATGGAGTGAGTTGACAATCGTCACCCCTCAGCTTGATTCTAACTCGAACACCCATCTCAGCGCAGCTAAGCGGTCAGTAACAGTATAACATTGGAACCAGATGGAACATCAACAATAGGCAGATAATCATCAGGATTGAACATTACACATCCATTAGTCAAGTGCCAGTAGATGAAACCATGCACTCTATAACCCTAGTCTTCAGCACACCTGATTCCCAGGACCAAAGGAACAAAACTCGATGTAGCGGAAATCGTAAACGTGGTTCTATAACAGTAAATTTAAATGTGCATAAATGATTTACGACTAGGTTTGTAGACGCAGTCCCAATGTTGCTCAACAGTGAGCTGAAATAATCACAGCAGTCTGTATTACCGATCAGCGGTAAAAGGGGAGCAGCGGCGAGGACAGCAGCGGCCAACATGTCAACGGTGTGGTGTGTGATTATGAGCCAATAGGACGGTGTTTTGGTTAACCAGTGATGCGAATAAACAAATGTCACGGTCGTGCTCGTAATTTTGTAGAAAGGGCATAACGGAGGTAAAATAAGGTATATACATATGCTGGCGAGTAGAAACAGCAGGACAAATTTGCAAGTTGTGAATATGTAATTCACAATGGCATTGTATACAAGAATTGGAAGACCTTGCGTTTAGCAATTTAGTGTACAGTACTGATCAAATGGTCGATTATTGAAATTGAATTTTACGTATCCTGTTAATGGATGAGCGATTTCGGTAGATACTCGTTAATACAGTTTTCTGTGTCTGGTTGTACGTGTGATGTACTTAGTTCCACAGGATCAGGTAAATAGACAGATTGGAGATGATCACGCATTCTCTCTTTGAATCTAGCGACAAGGAACGATTTACTCGTTCGAGCCACGTTCAGTTAAGAAGCACTGAAGGTCAACCTGTAAGTTAACGCTAACCTTTCTTTACAGGCCTCATCCGATTTGCCATCCTTAAAGTGAACCTCGAGAAAAAGCTGTTTCTTTTCTTGTCTGTATGTAAAGTGCACCGAGCCGCTGAGCGTCTTTTGGGTGGTGGAATTGCGCTCTATCGGGTGATCACCAGGGTTGCTGATAAGGGGATGCCCAGCTTGTGGAGGTAAGCGTCAAAGTGGATTGCTCGCTTTCTAGACGAGGTCAATAAGCAAGCGCGGACAACAAAAAGCAGAGTCTCGGAGCGTGGGAAATGCTGGAGTGGTTATCGAGTTTACCATTCAATATCACTAAAGCACGTGCCGTACTGTGTCAAATCCAGTGTGCCGGCTACAGGTCACTGACCATTCACTACCGACACCAGAGATGAGTAGCTAATGGAGGACGGATGTACAATCAATACACGATAGCTGAGAGTGAGAAACACACCTCAGCTAATGTGCCGCAAATACAAAAAAAGAAAGGGAAAAGTACACTATAAAAATGCAGAAAGCAAGTAATATAATGATAAATATCATACTATGCATTTCGTATGAGATGGCAATTAGAAGGGGAATCTGAAGTGAAGTATGATGGATAAAGAAGCTCACAACACAAACGCCACTAAGACGGGCCTTTCTCCAGGTAAACGTGTGTTCATCGTCCGTGGGGCCCCAACGTGGCTGTCTGGATGTACCAATCGACGCCAACTTCGAAGTGGTTTCCATTTCTCTCGATCAAGCTATCACTTGGCCTCCCCTGCTCCCTTTCCAACCGTACGCCCAGCGCACATCGAGGGAGTCTGTGGGCTGGCATGCGCAACACTTGGGCATTTCATCGGAGTCTGGTGCGTGACATAATGGTGGTGAGCGGTCCACTCGCACTTCCAGCATCAAATACGCGACGCCGAACACATTCATTGCTCACGCGGTGCGCCCACCAGACATGTGCTAAACTGTGGAAGCAGCAAAAATCGAAGATGACAAGCCTCTTTATGTCTATCGACCTGATGATCCAGATTTCCCAACCGTATAAAAGGGTTGAACGGACGGCTGCATTATACATGCTGCCCTTCAGAGCAAGTGATGTCCCGTCTGCGCCACAGGTGGCTGAGATTGGCAAAAGCACCTCGAGTTTTTACTATACGGTTCGTAACCACATCTTCGATCCCACGGGCGCTAACATAGCTGCGCAGGTAGTATAATAATTCCAGAACGACATCCAGTTGATCACCACCAAGGATCAGCGCAGAGGTAGGTCCCTGCCAATCTTGGAGTAGGACTTTTCATTTCGATGGAGCAAAGCATAGCCCAAAACGATTGCCAGCCAGTGCTAAAATCGGTCCAGTGATGCTTGCCAAGTTTGGGAGCAGTCACAGAAGGCATTGTCGTCAGCATACTTTGTTAAGAAGTCGTTCCACATCTTGTAAGTCGTGCTGCCTCCATGACTTCGTCAATGGCGAAGTTAAAGAGGAAAAGTTACATTGGGCACCCTTGTCTGTTGGAGATATTGAAAGGCGGCGACAGTTTGCCATAAACTCACACTCTGACCGAACTATGCGTGTAAAGCGCTCGGATAATGTTTGCGTATTTTTCCGGCACACCTTTCATCAGCAGATAGTCCTAAAAGGTACCTCGATCCACTGAATCGAAGGCACTATTTACGTCGAAAAACACGACAACGATGGGTCACCAATAAACGGCAAATATCGATCGATAAGGTCTCAAGTATTCAGGGAAATGCTGCCTGTTGGGTAATCTGTAACAAAGCGCACAAGTTGGGGCATGCCAGTCTTAGCGAGGGTCGAGGACTCCAAAGGGAAAATGATGAACTGACGTTGTCCCCTTGGATGAACATGGACTTGTCGAGTGGAGTGGAGCGACGCCCTGAGATTGTGTGTTGAAACTAGAAGAAAGGCGCGACTAATGAAGCAAGTCGGGAGAGGGCCAAGAATAGGGGGAATGAAAACAGGGGGATAAAATTGAAGTTGGAGCGGGACGTTAATGATGAAAAGGCGCAAGAGGGGGAGTATGAAGATGGGAGGGACTAAGAAGTAGCATCCAAACCCCTACCCACCCTGCTCAACGCAGCAGAAAGGGCGTCGTTGGTTATCTTTTGCGATGGTCAGAGCATTAAGAGCTTGTTAAATGGAAAAGTCATGGTGTTGACAGACGAACAATGCTGGAAGTTAGGGGAAAGTCGCTTTAGCCCTCTAACACGTCATCTGGAGGTTTCAGGTGCCGCTTCACATAGACAAAATCCTTTCGGGGGCGTCTTCGCTGTAGTCTCAAAATCCTCTTAGAACGGTCAATGGTTTAGTGCAACGTGTTATCTCTTACATGCCTCGTAATCTTGGACAGATCATATTTGAAGAATCTAATGCGTAGCACTTGTCGCCATGGAGTCAACTGACCATACTCCTTGTTGAAACAATGTGGAGTCAATGGTCCAATTTCCCAATACTTGAGGCATGAATATAGCGCATAACGATTTTACACCATCGTTTAGAATAGACCAACAGGCTTCAAATGATGAAATCTGCGATAGCGACCAGTCCCATCTGAGTATAGGATCAAGTGAAGTCACGGAAGCCCGGCTTCCAGTAGTTGCAGGATGGATCCGGCGGACTGCAGTACGGCAATAGCTGGTTGTGATCATCCAGTTGTCACTAAAAGCACTACCGCCACTCCAAGACAGTTCAACTAAAGGAGAGCGTGCACGAAGCTCGAGAAGCAGCTGTTCTCTCCCTTCCCCCAAATGGGAATAAACAGATAACTGAAACTACAGTCTCACGTAGGGATGGCGAATCAATCGGTTCTACAAATCCAGATGGGAAAGGCCAATGTAAATGACCTTTCACAAACAGTAATATAACGGATAGGCATTAGAGTGATTGTGGTACTTCGACATCTTAAGTGTAGGTCGAGTTATCGAGTGTTTCTGATGGACCGATTAGATTGAGTACTTTACGAGAGCCGTGAGGTTGGGGAAATAAATCGAGTGGATGAATATGAACTGGGAAGAGTAGGCCCAAGAACTATTAGCGTTTCGTGCCACAAGTCACAACACAACTGTGACTTGCAGGTGTGTCCGAATGTTTAGTACGGACAACTGATCTGCAGAATCACCAGAATTAGAAACAGTAGAGCAACATACTCGGGATAGTGAGGCGGCGCGTTTTTACTAATCGACACAAAGAAAAAAGCCAGTGATGGTGGAGTTTAGCAGGATGGAACATTTACACCAATATCAAATGAAAGGCGAATCTGACAACAGTCAAATAACGACGCGAGAAAAGAGACTGTGTGAGGGGAGACTTGTCAATCCCTTGAAGGAAGAGCAAAAAGAGCCACAATATGGGTATCGATATGTGACGGTGAGGGGCTGCCTCCAGAGGGTTATGTCGGGGAAGTCCAACAGATCAAGCACTCAAGATGAAGAGCAAATGGGGACGAGGAGAACCCAGTGAATCAGTCCACAAGCATGTGTGGACCAAAGTTCGAAAATGTGGGTCGTCAAAAACAGTTTGTCCAAAGCTCTAGTGGCGCAATCTAAGAAACCACTTGTGATAAAAGAAGCAAAAATAGCAACTGCAAGCGTAGTAAAAAAAGTATAAAAAAGATAAAATCAAAGATAAAGGCAGCTAAGTTGTTCAAAGCACTACGGAAGTCAATCATTCAGGTTGATGATACATGATATCAGGGAACCAAGGATCGTCCAAAAACAAGTGCTGTGCTGGCAGTGGTGTCAATCTGACATGATGTATCCGGACCATGTGCCGTTTCCAAGAGGGCCACAGATCACGGAAAGCGAGAAACGCTTGCAGAAAGGGTGGAATGGGTAACTTGGCAACGAGACGAGCATAATTCGTCCTTTTAATTGGCTTCGTTTGGAGATTAGACAGTTGAACTGGAATAAAGAAGGAAACGTAGGAGAAATCAGAAGAATTCGATTTGAAAGAACGCTCATCCATGCATACGTGGTCAAGTACCAATGAAACAGTAAAAGAAATCGAAGGCGATCGAAAGCGGACTCAAAAAGGTCACGCTTCCGCGTAGAAAAAGAGGAAAAAGAAACCAGTACGGACAGGAACACATTCAGTTCGACAAGGTACCGTAATCTATTACGTGCAGGATAAAAATCAGCACAGAAGAGGCGTTGGACGGACCGAAATCTATCAGCGTAATATGCAGCGAATCAAGTATGGAAAATGGGCAGCAGTCTCACATAACGGTAGAGCAAGAAAGGACGCTAATAGAGTTTTACGGTGGGCTATCAGATGTTGCTAGTTTGCATTGTGTATGTTGCCTTGAACAACGGTCGGCCGGCAGTGAAGGCAACGTCGGTCAGTGACAAAAAGTTGGAAGCTAGATATCCGATATGCTTAAGTAGCAAAATCTTGTGCGCCGAATAATTGATACACCGTTATCCAATCGAAGCCGCTACATATAGCACTGCATAATATGGTGCACAATATTATAAGTCTGTCGCAGCTAGGAAATCACATGCAACCTCTGTTGAGATATACCATCAACGGAGTCGGACCATACTACTTCAGAGGCAAACACAAGCACGCTGTATTTGGGGAATCAAGCGCACACAAGGTGGTGGCTGGAACGCAGTCCGCTCCACACAAGATGCATGGAATCACTGTTGGAGCCTAGAACGGCCACAAGGACAGTGCACCCCGTCCCCTCCACCAACGACCGTCTCCTGGAACCAGCATGGAGGAGGTATTGGCAATAGACAGGTACGCACGTTGTCAACATGCACATCAACCGCAGCCACACCGCGGATATCAAGCAAATGCGAAGCACTTGAAACCACGAAATCAAATCAAATAAATCGGATTTATGCATAAAGATACGGTGACAGAACTCTACAGTAAATGAGTATATGAAATAAGTTTGTTGCGAATAAATCCAACAATAAACAATGAGCTCAGAAAAAAGATTAAAAAAAGCTATAAATGCGAAAATGTTACCGAAGTAAAATAAAGTAGTTAAAGGAACGTGTGGAACTTTATAGAAGATAGTTCAGGAAGACTTTAATATAAAACAGCGTTAGGATAATATAGCCAATCCACCACCTGAAAACCAGAGACGCAGCATCCAAGCACACGGTTAGTAAATCTAATGCAAAAGCTGCGCCCGTTGTGCCTACGGTCTAAGCAGGTAATCGCGATGTCGATGTCGATGGAGTACAACCCATCGGCGCCTGTCGCTGCCGTAGTTGCCGCTTCTTCACCGCATGCATGAGGGCTTTCTCTTGCATCTAGGCAACGGCCTTCGTGATCAGATCGCGCCATGCACGCCGATCAACCGCCGATGATTTCTATAACCAGCACTCAAGCTTAGAACGTGTGAAGCTCACTTTGATCATGTCCTGGTAACGAAGTTTCGATTTCTCCACATGCCGATTCCCCAAACTTAGTAGACCATATAATAGCTGTCTCGGTATCCGCGTCGAGTCCATATGCCACACATGACAGAGCCACCTCAAGTGTCTCAGCTAAAGTATGAAGTCCACCGCATATATTACACTTCGGCGCAACACTTCCGTGTCCGCAACTCTGTCGCACCAACCATTGCGCAAAATCCGTCGAAGACACTGCTGATGGAACCGCTCGATATATCGCACATCCCGCCGGTACATCGTCCACGTTTCGCTGCCGTATTGAAGAATGGACGGCATCATGAATTTGTACACCATCAGCTTCGTACCGACGGCAAACTGGTGGTTGTTCCATACTCGGTACTCAAATTTCCCGAATGTCACCGCTGCCTTCGAGACGCGGCGCATCGTGTATTTGCTGGTCAGTCGACATCACACTCCCAAGGTAGCAGAAGTGGGAGGTGATTTCCAATACTTCAGCACCAATGCTGATTCGCGGCACCATTGTAGATTGTACCTCCAGTGAAGGCTGAAAGTGACAAACAGTTTTGTTTGTGTTCATCGTGAGCCCCCGAATCTGGCCGTTGTCGAAGCCAGAGCACTACCCATGTGCTGCCACTCATCCGCGCTGTATGCAAACAACACACAGTAGTCAGCAACATACGGATAGTTGTCTCACAGACTAGAGTTCTCGCATCGAACCGACTAATGTTCAGTAACCCACAATCAATACGATGCTCCACACGAACACCGTAAGCACAAGATAAATATTAAACATGGTAGGAGCTGAGATATTTGCTTGCTTCTCAGCAGAGACAACTGCAAAATAATCCGAGGTCTGTCTACTCAGCTGATGGGTTAGGATGAAGTGACAACAGGACGGACCACTAAGAGAACGTACCGTGCAGACGGTCTATGTCATTTTCACATTAATAGCAATCGTGAGCCAGTAGTTGCACGGTAGGATACTGAAGAAAAGGCTTTTTGTGTACACAGTTTCGCGTATTCGTGTTGAGTAAGATAGGTAGGGAAAACTAACAACCTGGAGAATACAGTGATGTAAAGAAGACGTTGACGTGGAGAATGGTGTCGAACTTACAGGATATGAATCACCATCTACTTGACACAGGAGCACCGTACATGAACAGTAATGGTAGCACAGCTGACTGCTAGTCGATCTCAAAATCCGGATACATGTACACGGAAAAAATAGCATCAACGCAGTCGCATACCGTAGTCGCAAACTTCTTCATCTAATGGCAATGAACATGCTAACTCGTTCGAATTTCCACTGAACGATGCAATCTACCGGTTCACTGAACACATACACTGACTTTGTTAGCTACAGTCCCTACCGTGATGTGCCACCGGAAACAAGCTTGTTCTCTAAATCCAAATAATGAAAACAACTCAGCTAAGCATAGTTAAACAACAATAATCTGGCCATCCAAGGGCAGTGAATACAACTACCAAAATGGCGTTACAGGATAAAAAAGGTGAGGAAATTGAGGTAGAATGAGAACAAGGAAAAGAGTTGAAAAACCCAAATAATCGGGATGGAGTGTCAACTGTTACATACAAGAAATAGAATGCAATGGTGCCAATGAGACAACAACAGCGCCTTGTCAGATAGGATCTTCAAATACTGATGCAATCATCCAGAAGCACCATACCGTGTGACAAAAACGTCACGATCAACTTCATCAAAACTTTATGTCACGTTAACAACTGGCCACCTCTCAGGCTCGCGAAATTTAGTGCTGCGACAGCATTTAATGAACGCTGAGGAAGGCGGCACAAGGTTGCAGGCAGTTCAACTTTGGCGAACGAACCTCACCATGATAATCAACAGCAAAAACAACAACAGTACAACAGCCCCTTGAACTGATGGTTCGTCGCCATACAACCAAAACCAAAACAAAAGAAGGAGAAGAAGCGGGACACAAAGCAGATCAACCTAAAAACCTGACGTCATAGAATGCAGTGACAAGGCAAATAACTTAATCAAAAACATACCATCCCAAACAATTGGAAATCGTGCAAAGATAAGGTGGCATCGGCGAGACAGATTCATTGCAGCTTCCAATGCCCCGTGTCATAATCAACCATTACCCCGCAGATGGCGAAGCATAAAACACACTTTAAACAGGCAATCCGACTACGAGACGGCAGCAGACGCGCCACTGGTGTCGACTGCGAGCCATGTACCGCAACATCTCAAGCCAAACACAATGCGACTCACGTGGTCTCCACCCTGGAAGCCGAGACGGAACAACAGCACCCAGTTTGGTCGTCAGTGACTTCATTTCCCGTTGCCAAGTCAACCTTTGTCCACCTCGAGCCTTGTGCCACTCTACATCTGGCACACTAAACAATCCGCTCTTAGGTAAGTGGTGACCAGGCATACGTAGCACGTGTCCAAACCAAGACAACTTATTCAGTGCTATCTGTTGTTCTAGGGAGCAAGCTTGATTATCACTGCCTAGTACGCGCCTATGCACATCATCGTTGCGGACACGCGGGTACCACACGACACCACCCATGCTTTGCAGACAACGAGGATCAAAGACTGGAAGGCGTCACAAAACCTCAGAGGCCAGTTCTCGCTTCCATACAGCAGGAAGATCCTCACTGTGGCCTTGTAAACAAGGCCTTTTAAACGGAGGGAAAATCTCCTGTCGCCAAAGATGCCACAGATCCAAGAAGGCAGTTATGGCCTTTACAATGCGGGAACTGAATTCAGTCGTTATGCACCCATCGTTGTTGATGCCGCTGCCAAGGTAGGCGAACCAATCGACTACGTCGAGTGCATCGTTATCAAGGGTTAACGGGTCATCAAATGGCTGGTGGTCCTGCAGTAACAATTTGCATTTTGAAAGTGCGAAGCGCATACCAAACAATGGGACCACTCAAGTGAGCATATTCAGGGTTGGTTGTGCCGCCGCAACATCATCGAAAAGTAGGACGATATCGTCCGCATAATTAAAATCAACTAATCTTTCACCAGACATCACTTTAACGCCTACATCATGGGATTCCGTAAGGGAACACTCGATGATGGAGTCCACGACGAAATTGAACAAAAGCAGAGAAATCGAATAACTCTGACAGACGCCACTTGTGGTCAGAAAGCTATCCGATAGGCCACCGTAGACCCTGACGCGGCCTGTAGAGTTCGAGTATAAAGCATGCAAAATGTTCACATATTTCATAGGAACAGATTCCCCACCAGCATTTCGAACAGAATGGATCGATCGACTGAATCGAATGCACTCTTGAAATCGAGGAACAGACCTATTATCGGTCTGCGACACATGTGGCTCTGTTCTAGCAACCGCCGCAGTGAATATATGTTCCATACAGCCACGTACTATGCGGAAACCTGCCTGCTCTTCCCTAATCTGAGATTCCCGTTCCACAGTGAGGCGATGAATGAGAATCTAGGTCAGCAATATTTTCACCACTGGCGTTAGGCTAATAGCGCTGTGATTAGAACAATCCGTGCGACTGCCCTTCTTGTATATTGCCACCATAATCGATTCAAACCAGCCAGCCGAAACGTTCTCTTCCTTTCAGGCATGTTCAACCAGGGAGGTTAGCGCTTTGCAGAGGACCTCACCTCCATTCTTAAATAGTGCAGGTGGGAGGGAACCCGGGACAGCAGCACGAAAACGATTGACGGCTGTAATCGCGTTTCGGACCTCAGCCTCCAAGGGAGCCGCTAAACTAACAGTCCGAAGTTCATCCTGAGTAGGAGGAGGTCCGGGAGCAGGGGCCAGCTGAACCGATCCTGAAAGTGTTTCGCCCAACCAGTCATACGGCATTACTTATTGTGTATCAGTGCACTGAACTGTCTCTGATTGTCTCACTGACGCCTGGTTTCCTGTGACCAGTGGTGCGGATCAGCTGGAAGAGCTTCTGATAATTGCCTACTTCTTTAGCCTCTTTCACTTCTTCAGCAGAAGTTCCTGCGTTATGCATGCTCACCGAGATCCTATCTCAACGAATCTCAGTGTCGTTAAGACAAGACAGTGAAAGTTCGGTATGCAGGACATCCTGGTTGGCTTGCTTAAACGAGGGCTGGGATAGTTTCGCAGTTGCCAATCAGTGGAGAAATTTGGTGCACCTCCCGGGAAAGTTCATGGAGAAATGACACCGTATCAAGGCATGATCAGAGTCGGTGCAGATATTCCAGTACGAGCGGCAATACAGGATGGAACCACGCCACCTGTAACTTACGGCGATGTGGTCAATTTTGGTCCATCGCTGACAAGCTACAGGAGGACGACAAGTGGCACTTCAGGCGCCGTGTCTAAAAGCAGTACTACTAAGGAACAGCTGGTGATCCGAACACAGTTGCAACAGACACTCGCCGTTGTCAGTCCGTTCGGAGTTAAGCCCATACTTACCACCTAGCTGAACTTCTGAAGAGCTCAGACGCCCTACTTGTGCATTCATATCGTCTGCAAGTACTATAATATCGGAACTAGTAGCATTGCGTAGTACTGTATTCAGTTCGTGATAGATTGTGTCCTAGGCAGCATCGGAACTGCAGTCGGTGGGAGCATAAGCGAAAATCATAAACATACAGCGTCTTGCACTACTTTGTGAATCAACCGTACTTGATGCCGTGAAACAAGCTGCACACACAAACGGATGTTCAAGGTTAGAGCAATACGCAACAAGCGCCGGTGATCAGTCGCTTAGTGACGCAGGCATAAACTGTCGAGATCTCAGATCAATGCAGTAACAAACCCTGCAGTCCGAGTTCAGTTACCTGTCACACAATAATGAAAAATATAGGCGTTCGGTTTGGTCTAGCTGTATCTGATGCACCTTCCATGTTTCCCAACACAAATATGCTCGCAGGCTAGTCTCTCGATACGCGTGTCAACCACACTGCAATGGGTCTTCGAATCGAACGAATGCGATACCAAGGTCAGTGGCAGGGTCACTCGGAAAGGAATACGAGAGAGAAGAACCAACCAACTGCACCCACAGTGTTCGGGTGCAAGTTGAGGCGATAAGACCAGTGAGCACAATCATCTAGTTTAGATTGTAAGATTTCAAAGAGTAGTAAAGGAGAACTCACCTAACATGGTCACCAGAATGCGGCGTATATTGATGCGACAAAATTCCAGCAACGTAGGCGGGCAACGAGTGTAGGTGTCGGAATGCGAGTCCGTCAAATCAGAGCGGTGATGCAACCGATGGAAAGCCCACGCATCGAAAATGGATTGGAATCTGGCTGTAACGGGAAGGAATAAATCCTCTTGGGGAGCAAGACAGAAGGGATAGTTTTGGCAGTCTGTCGGGTGGGATGGCGCTGTACCTGGATTGGCAGGTGGAGGGGGAGGGGACCAGAAGTGTAGTTTGCATGACTCATCCTCCCGAATGATCGTCGGAGTGGCCAACCATAGTTCGAGCAAAAGGGCCAAATTTCGCATAGTAAGCTCATTAGCCCCCAAAGCAACGGAAGTTTCAACAAGCTGGGTTAAAATAGGAAAGATGATAGAAATGTAACCATCAAATATCACCATTAAAACATAAAATTAAGAGTCACAGTTGTGTGCATGGATAAGCATATACAATCTCAAGGTGAACAACGGCTTAATTTGTAGTGGACCTAAGATAGTAGAGGCACGGTGGGGCGATGCATGGGTTAACGATTTAGTGGTGTTGCACACTGCCAGTAAGCTACAAACGCTAGGCTTCGTCCACGTGTAGATGCCTTAGGAAGAGAGGACTGGAATGTGGGACAAAGGGATCGCCGGAAAGCACATTCACTACCGCGATACTGAGCTCCGCGATAGCCTATTGCATAAACACTCACGAAATCATCTGTCTGAAGATATCCGAAGGTCCAATGACGAGCAAAATAGGTGTAAATAGATGACAGGTATCAAAGGCGCCAGAAGACTCCAAAAGATCAGACGAAGAGGATGTAGCAAAATTACGTTGGATCGATGGAGAGTGGAAAACATTAACGAGTTGACAAGGCTGAGTGAATGCGTCCAATTACAATCCGAAAGTAGCCTTTTAAAATTTAAAAGGAAATCAGGGAAGCAGTGGAAAAGCTGTAATTTATGGACAGTTGTCGTATATCACACAAATAAATTGTAATCGCTCTCTTATTGTAGTCGCTCTTTATGGGTCGCTGAAGTTCAATGGCTTGGACATGTCTTTGCTTGGTAGGTTTGTTTCAACGCACACCTGCTCCGTCTGGGGTCACAGTGAACCTTGCTCATGGAAGACGGTACACATTCTGTCTTGTCTAACCGGCCCACGCAATATTGATGGGTCCTAGTCGGAGGCAATTGAATTATCTTCACCACCTAATGTCACAGTTAAGGCAATACAGTGGCAGCTTACATAGATAGTTCGCGGTCAAAAAGATACGAGTACTGAATGAATGACCTGATCTAAGCCTCGTTTTCAAGGGACGAGTCTACAATGCTGAGATACGAGCAGATCTGCTGCACGGCTGTGGGACTTGGGCCGTTCGCAAAAATGATGTTCAGCGGCTATCTGTCCTCGATCACCGTTGCCTGCGAAGCATTGCTGGTGTTCGATGGCAGCATCACATCACTAATGAGGAAGTCCGTCGGCGAGCCATCAAATCCGACTAACTCCGCCGACTGATTGATAGCAACATTTCACTGCGGAGGCCTCGCTGGCTTGGGTATGTGCTCCACATGTATTCCAAGCGGGTACCACAAGGCAGCTTATTTGCGAGCGTAAGCGTGGGGTGAAAGCAACAACAAGGAGGCCAGTGCAAAACCTGGATCTAATGCGATAAAGCGCAGGCGTTGAAGCTGGTTGTTGTTGGGCGTCTCAGATTCGCAGGTTGGGGACCAAAGGACGCCGAGCACATTTGGCTGCAAACGCTACACATCATCATCGACAACAGTATATCAGCCATTTGAATTCTTGGTTCGCGGCCATACAAACATGAGGATATGGGGAATAAAGAAAATGAGCCACAAATACGGGGACCTACCTGAAAACCATAATGCCCTAAGCAAACCTCCCGCGTCAAGGCGCCTACACTTCGAGCAGACAAAAACAGACGGACATCGAGCAAAGATAAGGTGGCATCGGCGAGACAGATTCATTGCAGCTTCCAATGCCCCGTGTCATAATCAACCATTACCCCGCAGATGGCGAAGCATAAAACACACTTTAAACAGGCAATCCGACTACGAGACGGCAGCAGACGCGCCACTGGTGTCGACTGCGAGCCATGTACCGCAACATCTCAAGCCAAACACAATGCGACTCACGTGGTCTCCACCCTGGAAGCCGAGACGGAACAACAGCACCCAGTTTGGTCGTCAGTGACTTCATTTCCCGTTGCCAAGTCAACCTTTGTCCACCTCGAGCCTTGTGCCACTCTACATCTGGCACACTAAACAATCCGCTCTTAGGTAAGTGGTGACCAGGCATACGTAGCACGTGTCCAAACCAAGACAACTTATTCAGTACTATCTGTTGTTCTAGGGAGCAAGCTTGATTATCACTGCCTAGTACGCGCCTATGCACATCATCGTTGCGGACACGCGGGTACCACACGACACCACCCATGCTTTGCAGACAACGAGGATCAAAGACTGGAAGGCGTCACAAAACCTCAGAGGCCAGTTCTCGCTTCCATACAGCAGGAAGATCCTCACTGTGGCCTTGTAAACAAGGCCTTTTAAACGGAGGGAAAATCTCCTGTCGCCAAAGATGCCACAGATCCAAGAAGGCAGTTATGGCCTTTACAATGCGGGAACTGAATTCAGTCGTTATGTACCCATCGTTGTTGATGCCGCTGCCAAGGTAGGCGAACCAATCGACTACGTCGAGTGCATCGTTATCAAGGGTTAACGGGTCATCAAATGGCTGGTGGTCCTGCAGTAACAATTTGCATTTTGAAAGTGCGAAGCGCATACCAAACAATGGGACCACTCAAGTGAGCATATTCAGGGTTGGTTGTGCCGCCGCAACATCATCGAAAAGTAGGACGATATCGTCCGCATAATTAAAATCAACTAATCTTTCACCAGACAGCACTTTAACGCCTACATCATGGGATTCCGCAAGGGAACACTCGATGATGGAGTCCACGACGAAATTGAACAAAAGCAGAGAAATCGAATAACCCTGACAGACGCCAATTGTGGTCAGAAAGCTATCCGATAGGCCACCGTAGACCCTGACGCGGCCTGTAGAGTTCGAGTATAAAGCATGCAAAATGTTCACATATTTCATAGGAACAGATTCCCCACCAGCATTTCGAACAGAATGGATCGATCGACTGAATCGAATGCACTCTTGAAATCGAGGAACAGACCTATTATCGGTCTGCGACACATGTGGCTCTGTTCTAGCAACCGCCGCAGTGAATATATGTTCCATACATCCACGTACTATGCGGAAACCTGCCTGCTCTTCCCTAATCTGAGATTCCCGTTCCACAGTGAGGCGATGAATGAGAATCTAGGTCAGCAATATTTTCACCACTGGCGTTAGGCTAATAGCGCTGTGATTAGAACAGTCCGTGCGACTGCCCTTCTTGTATATTGCCACCATAATCGATTCAAACCAGCCAGCCGAAACGTTCTCTTCCTTTCAGGCATGTTCGAACAGGGAGGTTAGCGCTTTGCAGAGGACCTCACCTCCATCCTTAAATAGTGCAGGTGGGAGGGAACCCGGGACAGCAGCACGAAAACGATTGACGGCTGTAATCGCGTTTCGGACCTCAGCCTCCAAGGGAGCCGCTAAACTAACAGTCCGAAGTTCATCCTGAGTAGGAGGAGGTCCGGGAGCAGGGGCCAGCTGAACCGATCCTGAAAGTGTTTCGCCCAACCAGTCATACGGCATTACTTATTGTGTATCAGTGCACTGAACTGTCTCTGATTGTCTCACTGACGCCTGGTTTCCTGTGACCAGTGGTGCGGATCAGCTGGAAGAGCTTCTGATAATTGCCTACTTCTTTAGCCTCTTTCACTTCTTCAGCAGAAGTTCCTGCGTTATGCATGCTCACCGAGATCCTATTTCAACGAATCTCAGTGTCGTTAAGACAAGACAGTGAAAGTTCGGTATGCAGGACATCCTGGTTGGCTTGCCTAAACGAGGGCTGGGATAGTTTCGCAGTTGCCAATCAGTGGAGAAATTTGGTGCACCTCCCGGGAAAGTTCATGGAGAAATGACATCGTATCAAGGCATGATCAGAGTCGGTGCAGATATTCCAGTACGAGCGGCAATACAGGATGGAACCACGCCACCTGTAACTTACGGCGATGTGGTCAATTTTGGTCCATCGCTGACAAGCTACAGGAGGACGACAAGTGGCACTTCAGGCGCCGTGTCTAAAAGCAGTACTACTAAGGAACAGCTGGTGATCCGAACACAGTTGCAGCAGACACTCGCCGTTGTCAGTCCGTTCGGAGTTAAGCCCATACTTACCACCTAGCTGAGCTTCTGAAGAGCTCAGACGCCCTACTTGTGCATTCATATCGTCTGCAAGTACTATAATATCGGAACTAGTAGCACTGCGTAGTACTGTATTCAGTTCGTGATAGATTGTGTCCTAGGCAGCATCGGAACTGCAGTCGGTGGGAGCATAAGTGGAAATCACAAACATACAGCGTTTTTCACTACTTCGTGGATCATCCTTAGCTGATGCCGTCAAACGGGCTGCACATAAACGGCTGTTCACCGGAATCCAATCAGCCAAGGATGGTTCAGCCTTGGAGCTTAGAATGATATCTACACCAGCTTGACCCGTGAGTGCTGCATCGGCGTCTCCGGATGCGTACAACCAATAACGTACGGATAAGCCAGGTACAGTTAATTCAACAACCCCGTTAGAGTGATTGATTCTGGTTACGGTCACACAACACACATCAATACCAGTGTGTCCAAGGTGCGTGCGAGTACAGCCTGTTGACCTGTTTGTCTTAGAGTGCGAACGCTGAACGTCGCCATGGAACCTAGATTGCGTGGTCTTATAAGAACTTGTTCTGATAGGTGTTGTGGTATGGTAGCTGTAGTTGGTTCTACTGCAGTGGCACTTCGGTTGCTGTCAAGTAAACTGGGATTTATAGAAGTTTAAAAGTATAGTAAAGAAGGTTAGTAATGGAGGTCCAGATGGGAGTAAGAGAAACCGTCGGAAAAGAAAGAAGGGAGACGGCAGCAGTAGCATGTGTTCGCTTATCCGCCCTGCTGTATGCAGCAGATAAAGTAACCCTTGACAAACTGTCGATACAGGATGAAGTGTATATTTGAAGAGAAAGACATGATTGTACTTAGGCTGATATTGCCAGGGCGCCCAGACCTAGACAGGAGGACGATTAAGGTCTTCAACCAAAGTCTCGCTCAAAAGCCTGTACGCAAGGCTACGCAGAAGTGGCAATGATTTAGTTTCAAAGAAATGGACGCTATCCTATTTCAAACCCCCAAACTGGAGGACCAGGAGCCTGAGTTTGTCTGACCTCTCAAGATT